GTATTGCCGGATTTAAGGTGTACCTGTATACCTGGTGAAAGCTCATCGACACAGAACCAAGTTCGCACAATGGAAACGGAACCGTATCCGTTTGGAGTCGGATTTACTGCACGGCGCGTCGTTGAAAGCAAAATGAATTACTCTAGGCTGCACGAAATTGCTAAACTTCGTGAAAGCCCATCGAATTCGCTAGATTTCTCTAGTTTCCATCATTTCCCGAAATTTTTTTTTGGATCTACAGATTTTGAATTTTTAAATAGTAGATTTTTATTGTAAATTTCCTGCTTTCGTGCGTCGACAGTTGCAGTATCAGTACTTGGATAGTCAAAAGATTGATCGATATATACATTTATATTGTAAAATTCTAAAAAAAAAAAGTCAATGTTTGCGAAATTATAAATTCCAATGTTTTCAAATAGCTCCTCTGATCTTCCACATAATTCAGGAGATTCAAGAATCGCTGACATTGCACGGATGTTTCAAATAAATAAGATTCATAAATTGTTTATATTTCATTCGTAGTTTCTCCAGACTATGCACACTCTTTTCGCCATCGGCAACACCGGAAGGAAAAACATTCGAGGTAATTGGATAATTTCGATGCTTTGTGGAATCGTAAGGTTTCCGACAAAGTTGTTATCTCGAGGTCGACGTGGGAAGAAATGCCTTAAAGCTTAATGCTACGGCTACGGGGGATGCAACAGGGAATTTACGGTGTACGAAATGACTCGAGAGAATTCGTGGATTCATAGATTTATGTTCCGTAACAAACGAAAGTTCTTGCTTCGAGCAATAACTGTATATTTAAAAAAAGGAAAAAAGTCTTTAAACTTACAAATTCTTACATTTCTGAAGATATTTCCAAAGCTCTGTGTAAAATATTAAGGGTCGATTATAATAATCTGTACTACAAATTAATTGTAATCCAAAAACAAGTTTGTCGCGGACAGATAACACACTGCACGGCAAATACTTCACCGGTTAAATATCTATAATTAAACACAGGTAAAAACGATTTGTGGTCTAATTATAGGCTGAAACGTTTATCAACGAGGACCTAGGATCCCATTGTGAAACTTGCAAACAGCATTGGTGGATGTTTATGAATTACGTGGCGAGCATCGACTGACGTACGAAAACACACAAGTTTGATGTACCGCTGTTTTCGTTTGAAAATTAATTTAGTCCGCGGAGAAATATGAAAGTAATTAGTCACTGCTGCCACCGCAGAGGCCCCGTTCGCGTTCACCAGCGAAGAGCCAGTGTTATCCAGCGTGGTGAAGTGCGTGTGCGCGAACACGCGCAAAGCGTGCGACCTAATTTTCGCGTGAACGAGGACTCGACTTAATTAATGAGGATATACGAGCTAACACGTGGGGCTAACCTGCGGCTTCACTCCGATTTCCATTCGTTAGGATAATTAGCTGGGAGCACACGATGCGACGTCCGCGCCGTGTGTTCACCCACCTTCTACACTCTTTTATTGTCTTCTCCGTGTGCAATTAAGACCGGGCTACCTGCTTTCTAACAATCGCTCTCTACCGGCTACAGGTGCAAGTCCGTCGACTAAAGTCACTGGATTTCGCTGTTACTCGACAGTGATATATCATGATATAATCTCGAAGGAGAGAACAAGATTTTTGAAGGAGTACAGCACTTGAAAGAAGATTAAAACAGTATCTTTTTTTAGCGACACTTGCAAGTAATTTGGCACCTGACATCTTCCAACTTGATATGTAATAAATTTCCCAACTTGGATGAAGTTATCGGTTTCAGCGAAGGAGGATCACGACAGCTTCTTCGTGACCGTTTCTCGAAACATTTAATTGAACGTTTCGCTCGATTTAATGAATTGCTCGTGATTATCACGACACAAACAATCCTAACTAGCTGTACTTCTGACAAAGTAACGGATTCCTCTCGATACAGGTTCGCAGGCACGAATAAATATTCCAACGTCTTCGTGTGTGAGCAGGGTTAATTGGGTTAATCAATTCGGAACGACTGTTCGAATTATCGATTACGAATGAACGGCTGTGAAAATCAAACGTGCAATTCTCTTCTTCTCACGTACGTAATAGGCACGTCAAAGTTTTGCATAACAAAGTATATACTTTATACTTTAAAGTCACTAAAAAAAGCAATCGTTTTTTTTTTTAGAGTAATTTTAGTGCTTTGGTTTAACCATATTAAAGCACGATATGGCAGATAGATATTCTAGCGGGATATTTAAATGGTCCGGACGAGTGACATTTTCATATCTCTCGAACAGTTAAACAGGTTAATCAACCGAAAGTAAACGGTAGCTACGATCGTCCAATTCACTCGAAGGACACGAGCTGGCATTAAAACGAGCGAAAGCTAGATCCTACTATCGAAGAAATTAATTTTCTTCCTAGTTAGGCGGGACACGATGATTCCCTCTCGTGAGAATCAAATGACTTTGAAATGCAAATTATCCTCTATTAACCCACGAAAAAGAAAAAAAATTTGTACGAAACTCCGAGCAAGAATTTAAAATATAAGAGACTACGAAAATCACCTCTAATTTTAATTTATTTTATCATTTTCATTTCAGAATTTTGAGACTTTGATCCACGATACTGATCTACGTGTCCAAAACATGATGGTTCACGTACAAATTAGAATAAAATATTCTACCGACTTTCACTGTGAAAGTAAAATCCCATGATTTTTACAAAAAGTTAATCCACCTGAAAAGACACTCATTATCGATCCTACAAAGAACAGACTAAAGAAACTGAAAAAAATCAATGTTCAAAGCGGAGTTTAAAGCGATTTTGCATTATCAAAAGTCATTTGGGTCAGAAACGGAATTTCTCTCTCGTGCACTGTGATCGAACGTATCTAAGACTGTTATTCTTCCGACTTAAAACGGCCGAATGGCCGTTCTATCAATCGAATGACCCGATAGAGTTAAACTTTACTCACGCGGGTGTAGAAACTTGATGGAGTTTGAACCGCGAGTTTCACAGTCGCGCGATCCAGCGGGTCCATGGAGCGTCTTTTCGCTGCGTTAGTTACATCCAATTTATATGATTATTGCCTGGACACTTACCTGAAACAGAGAGATAAACCAAATGATTGGTAAAAGGTTTCTGTTTTCTTGTCGCTTCGTGTAATGTAATGTAGCGTAATGTCTTCGTACGCATACGCGAACGTCTTTCGAGGAATTCCACGAGAATAGAGAAATAACAAGGAGATTTACACCTTTCTTTGCTCGTCTCTTTAACGTGAATCATAAAACTGGGCAAAGTTTGCAAAGCAGAAAGATTACACGTGAATTCTGGAAACGTAGTTGTTTGACGAGCGTGACGAACGGGCAAAACGTGTAATTTAATTATTAGAATGTAATTTAATTATTAGAATCGTGAAATGAATCTTTAGAACGTAATTTAGATAGTGAAGCTTGACGAACAGTTTAACGTAGTTAAACGTAGTTGAGCAGGAGATTGAAAATTTTGGCAGACTTGGCAATCGTGGAGAGCCTGTCACCAACAATCTTACAATAAATTACAATCCATGAAATATTAAATCCCTTCGTTATTCGTTACAATCAAATATCGAGTACATTCCAGAGTAACCATAAACTAGCTGCAAGAATAAAGCAATCACGCTGTCGAAATAATCGAGCCTTAATGAACCAGCGAAAGGGGCCGCGTAAATTCTCTAATCTCCAGATCGATACGACGCCCCGTAATACTTTTCGCCCGCGTGGTTCGTGAAAGAGAAGCGGAGAGTTAATCTGTCGGTTCAATCTCACGTGGAACGCGATCGTGGAGACTCGAGGATTCATGTCCGAGATCACTCTCGATGCTCTTTGCAGGCAACAGCAGCAACAGCAGCAGTGGTACCACGTAATGTCTTCCGTGGAACGAGGAAAACACGCGCCAAAGGCGTGGTCTGAATGGCAATAACGTAACCACTTTGGCAATCAGCGAACTCACAACGTACACACACGTACACGTACCGATCTCGAGCGTTATACAACTGGAATCCGCGTTGCGCCAATTCTATCTCTCGCCACGTTGCATTTGCGTACCTCTCGGTGCCGATAGTGATCGACACTTACAGGTGTCGATTGCGAAAATTTCGATTGCCCGGTTTCATTAGCGAGCCGCCATAACCTGCCGCGATACTCGCGTCGATTGAGTTTTATAATAGCCAGTCTAATGATTGAAAGTAGCGCACGTTCAACAAGACTTGATCTGTCTTCTTATTTCTTGCACGCGTTTGTTGTCCATGATTTACGGCTGTGGCAAAAATTTCGCGAAACGATTGATCTCGAACGAATGGAATAATCTCAGCTGTTCCACTTTGGAAAGATTAGCTCGTAGAGATGAGTTCTCTGCCTGTCTTGTGTTAAATCGTGCATGAACAATATTTGGTTCACCGTGTTACTCTCTGACGGTTTTGCCAGTATGAATACGTTTCGAGACGAAGAGAATATGTTCGAGAAGGATTTCAAATACTCGCTATCCAAAGATGAGGTAAAGGACGCTTGTTGGTGTAACTTGTAGTCAAATAAAACAACACGTGCATTATATATTTTATACGAACCAAAAATAATCTTTTGTGAAATGGAAGCTACTAGAAGCATAGCTCCGTCTAAAGAAAATACCTTCTTGAAAAAAAATAAGCCAATAGTAATTAGAAATTTAACCGAAAGAAATAATGTCGTCATTTTGAAAAAGCATCGCGAAGACAATTACTAATTTTACTCCAAAAAGCCAGCCATGTTTAGAACCACTCTGGTCTCAGGCGAGAAAAAAACCTATGACGTGTCTGGTCCTAGGTGGATCTCGAAACGGCAATCGGTGTGAATCAGCTCGATGAAAAATAAAAGCATCAGGCAATTTGCATAACGTCTAGAGACTTCGGCTCGAGCAAATTCTAGCGACAAGTGCCTGACGTCCTTGCCTACACCCCACGCGATGAAACCATAATGCACAGGTTGCTGGTGCATTCCAGATCCTGTTCGTACATCCGTGCTTATATGCAGATAGAATGAACTGCCGATCATACGATGGTTGTTACATTCCACGCGCAAAAGGGACGCGATCGAACAAATAATTGCCAACAATCGCTTGGAAATTGATTGAGTATGGATTCCTTCGTGCCCGAACGACTCAATCTTCGCTGATGGTCGATATCGTTTTACGAACAGATGCCGATATTGAAAGGCAAACTCGGAGAGAAGCCTCTGAATGGAGTATTTGAAACTAACTAGACAGAATACTCCAACTACGTATTTCTAGAGGAATTCTAGAAAAAATTCTCCCAACGGAAGTTCATGGAAGAATCTCTTATTGTTAGAAAAGTTCAGAAAAGTCCAGAAAAAGCGTTCTACGAACAGACTCTGACGAAGTCAGCTCGCGCGGAACAATCGAAGCCTCGTACGTATAAAACGGTCGCCAAGGCCGTGTAACGCGTGATCTTTGTATTCCAGGCCGATGGGTGGCAAACAGAAACACGAGGAAACGCCGCAACAACGGCGTTCTATTATCTTCTCGTGTATTTACGCCCACCGTGCGAGATTACCAGTCTCGATTAACCCTCTTGCCAACGGCCGCGTGTTTTTGTTCCCCTTTCGATTCGTTCGCTCTCTGAAAAAGGAGAGAAAGGAATCCGTTCCTTTTTGTCGCTAGACGACGACAACGACGACGACGACGACGACGACGACGACGACGACCAAGAGCACGAGGAAGGTTCTCGCCAGTGAAACGAAGGTGAGAACTCGTTACGCGGCCACATTAAGTCTCCGACTGATTTATGCGCCGACGTGGTAACCGCGCCACGGCACCTGTATGGCCGCACTTTTATGATAAATAATGCCTGCTGCCACGGAATGAAAAGCGAGCCTCGTGGTTTGTCCTTGGCCAGAGAAAGGGACGACGTTGCTCGGTGGTTGTTTTCTGGAAAAACGGAGTGCACGGTCTGCGAGACGCTTACGCGATCCGATAGTAGCACGGTTAATTAGAATAATTTCTTGAAACGGTTGTCGGCTACGGAGTGCAGAAACGCGCGGTAGAAAGGCGCGAGCGAGACTGCGCGAAACAGGTGGGCGGTGGACAAACTGCAATGCCTTTTCTGAATGATCGAGCGAGTCGAAAGGAACGCGCGTCGTTTTTAATCCGTCCCGCCGCTTCGTTCCCAACGCCGCTGGCAATTCTTCGCGAGAGATCGCGAGCCGATTCAAACGGCGAGCATTTATCAAAAGCGTTGAGACGCTTGGGATATTCATGAGCTGCACGAACAGTTTTACTCTCGAGCGAAAAATCCATCGCTCGTGTGCGTGTGTGATTTCATAATTTCAAGGTGAAGCTTCCTTTAATCCCCGCGTAAATAATCCCGGTAGCTAGTCTCTCTCGCTCTCGCAATCAGAGACAGATTAAATTAGTTTTTGACAGAGGAGACCGTGCAAAGGGGTTACCGGGCACGAATAGAATAGAACAGGAAACCGGCGCTCTGACAAAGCGCGTCTGTCGAACGGCAATTACCGAGGAATTGGCACCTCACTCGGGCTATTTTAAAGGTTTCTGCGAACGTGTTACGCTGTTTCAATCGAACTGTGTCAACTGTGTCCTCCCCGCGCCAAGGGTCGATAACCTAATATCCAATCAAACGAATTCCAATCACGTTCCCATTTGTTTCTCTCGTTCTGCGAGCAAGAAATGGTCCGATCTTCCCTTCCAACGTTCGCACGACAACGTGATAACGTGATCGGTAAAATTCGTTGTAAAAAAAAAAAAAAAAAAAAAAACTGATAAAAAATCAACTGCGAGAAACTTGTCAATTTTCACGCGGAGAGAAAGAAAGAATGTAGAGAGAAAATCCGAGAAAATCCGCGAGACGGATGTCTATTCGGGCACCTGTAGCCAACTCCGGATTGGCAACTTTTGTTGGATTACTCTAAGGCGACGTTAAGAGGGAGCAAAAGGTATTTGGCAGCGAACAGAATCGATCGCATATTCTATCGGTCGTTCTCCCTATAAATATAGATCGGGGATGCCAGGTACATCGCGTCAGAGGCCCCTCTTTGGCGATACTCCATACGATCGTGCTCCCATCGTGACGACGACCTTTACGATTCAGCCTCGCGCAAGATAATTATATTGTGCTTCATTTCGGGAAGTCGAACTCTTGCGAAACCGAGGAGGCTCTTTTAACCTCAGCTGCGAGCCTCGCCGTACACGGCAAAGCATCCCTTCTCTCTTCCCTTTTTCGGTGACTTTAATTTCACCATCCAGAGCGCAACTCTAAATTTCGCTCTGACGAACGTGACCAATCGGTAAACGACGCCTCGCGCACGGAAGAATTCATGTCAGTAACTCGAATTACAATTACAACTAACATAATCATGTTAGCACGCCGTTTCATAATTAAGAGAAATCCTTTCGTAACGCGGCGCGTAAATTTCTTTTAACGGGAGTACAACGAGGACTATGAATTCCTGGCGATTACTTTCCGCGAAGCGGGAAAGCAAGAAATTGATGGAATATCAAATTCGAAAATAAGTTTGAATAAGCACTTCTTGCTCTTTGGTCGGAACAGGTGAGCTCGCTTTGGAGCATCGTTTCGTAGCGGTGTGTCTCATTAATTGCTCGGCCAACAGTATTATCGCGCCGAGGAACGTTATACTCCCAACTTGAGTAATACGGAAATAATCGTGAATCAGAGGAGCACTTTGTTATCTTTGAGGAGACACGACGCCGTAGTGTAACACACCGGCTCGAAATCTTGAAGACGTTCCAATTCGCTGAATAGAACGTTGTACCGCTCGTTACCTCATTTGGTATCCTAAAACGCTTATTAGTCGTATCATTGGAGCAACGATTTCGTCTTACTTCTTGCGTAAGAAATTTGTTCGACGATTCGTTCGCCATCGTTCTATCTACGAGTTGTTTCCCCTTTGGAGGAAAGCTTTCTCGGACAGAAAGTAACACGGTTTTAAGCTTGCGTAAAATATTGCGGGAAAATTAAAAGTTAATCTTCATTAAATTTAGACGTCGAATTGGAAAGTGAATAATACGGTCGAAGATAATTCTTAGGGTTTAGTCACGATCAAACAGAGCTTTTTAATCTCTTGTTGGAAGTGACTCTTTGAGCGAGATATCTTGTACGTTTTAGTTTTAAAGAGGATTTTAGATAAATGAACATCAACAGAAATTTCATTAATCAATTACTTTGCTTCCACAGAGCAAATGCTACACAACTTTCCAATCAACTTAATGAAAAAAAAAAAAAACTCTTGCGAGTGATATATCAATGTTGGGAACAATCGGTTTTCAAAAGTCACGAGTTTCACATGCCTATTCTTCCAGAGAGAGATGGAGAGGGCTAACACGAAACACGCGTGAAGAAAAGCCAAAAAAAAAAGAAAAAGAAAGAAACAAACACGGTGTCTTCTAAAAATTCACGAGCGAAATCGAGCGAGTCGAGATGCGTCCGTGAAAGGCACGTATCGCACGGATGCGTTATGTAAATTCAGCATGAACCGCCACGCTCTGTGACTCTTTTTCACCAGCGGCGAACGCTACCGACGAAGGAGAAAAATGGCTGCATTAACTCTTCGAAATTACCGTTTCATTACAAAGAAACTAGAAGAATCTCTCGAGCGAGACAGCTCTGTTTGCTTATACCAAACGGATCTGGCCTCCACTAACAAGTCATTAGAAACATTTACTTACTACGCCAACCATAGAGAGCAAAACTCCACGAGAAGGATGCTGTTACTTTACCATGGGTGATCTTCAATCGACGCAAAACTACTTTTCATGCTACTTTTCGCAACGATCCGCGCTAAAATGTTCACCGAGATTACGTCAGTTAAAAGTAACTTTACAACAAAGGGAATTCTTTGGGTGATTCGACAGAAGCTTAATAAGATAGACGAAGAAAAAGAAATTCGACTGAATTATATATTTTTCTCTATATGTTTCTTCTGTAGTTTCGAATTATGAAACTGTAAAAAAATTTTCTAGAATTAGAAGAATAACATAACAGCGTTAAAAAAAAATTCCAATCAAACTCTGAGTAAACACGTATCCTTCGTATCGTATTTTTCAGACAACGTGAAGGATTTTTCCTTCGATCGTTTACTGCGTTTACGGCGTTGGTTCTTTCACGAAAGTCATGTTCATACCGTTCGAACGGTGCATTCTACGCAGGAAGCGCAGACGAAGTGAATACGTGGCCTGAAACAAGCGTGAGCCGTGGGAAGTGGGCCCACGGGAAAGTTTTTCCTTACACGTTCCATTCGTTAGCGTTAGAAATTCGCAGATACAAAGTTCAAAGGATGAATGACTTGCGAGAGGAGATTTTGACAGGGGAGAATCTTCTACTCGCCGTTTTTCATACTTCGCCGCCAACGTCGTCACGCCGTATCGAAGGGAGGAAATTATTTCGCATTCTAGATGTAATTTGTTCTATTCTCTGAACGAAATAAGAATAGGTATTTCGCTCGCGAGTTGATAAATTAATTTGTGCAACTTTCATTCAACTGTCATTTAGCTTCCGATTTTTTTTAAATCATTACATAATAATATAACGTACTGTCGGTAAATTGGTATATTTGCCACGTTTATTAGAAAATTCCAACAAATTTCACTTCATTTAGCATTTCAAATGATTAGAATAACAAGTGTATGAGAAAGTAACGATAGTGAAGAGCATTTAAAAAATGTAAGCTTGACAGATGTTTCAATATACCCAAATTTGCAACATTTTCCACTGCTCGTTCCCCTTCGATCGAAATTTCGAAATTCACGATATTTTCCAGTAGCTACACTTCCTTTCGAATGAAAAACATTCGCCTTTCGGTGAAAACATTACGAAAGCCTACTGAAAGGCCGAAGGCAAAATATGCAACGTCTCGTTGCCAAAGATGTTACATATCGATACGTATCGCGATCTAGAGATGTGAATCGAAGATTCTCAACGTCCTTGAAGGATCGTGGCGACGCTTTCGTGCAGCTTCGCGAGATTCACGTCCGCGACACAATGCCGTAAACCAGCGTTATAAAAGCGTATACTACTATAAGGCTCGGTGTGTTTCGTCACGGTGTCTGGAACGATCTGCAAGAGGAGAAAGGAAGAGTATCGAATATCTGGAACAAGGTGGGTCGCGTGTGGATAACGCGGGAGAATGGAATACTCCAGCGTCGATTCACAATAAATAAAAGGCAGGTGCCTCGGTTGCCTCCTGCAGCCTAGAATCATTTACAGGCCTTTCATAGTTTTCTGTTCTGGCCTTTATGCGCGGTCGTAAAACGCGCGTGCAAAAATTAAACCTCCCGGTTGCTTGTTACTCCCCAGCTTCGATGGTGGAAACCTCGATGTTGCGGTCGAAACGATATTAACAACAATGATTTCCGCGCGGTAGTTAATAAACACGGCCAAGCGTCCGTGCCACGTGTTTATTGGCAAGTATTTCATCCGTGTGACACAGGGAATGCAATTGTATCGTAACCGCAAGTTTCGGTAATAAACGTCAGTCGTCTCGACACGTTGACGTCCTGGCTACTTTCAAATCGTGAACATTCGCAATGAGAAGCTAAACAACTGGCTAATGGCTAAGAGGTAATCAGATTTCCATTTCTGAACGATGACATATGGCGTTACCTCGATCTGATATATAGTGGCTCGAGAAAATATTTATTCGAGTATCCCGTGTGGCCAGACAACGATTTTATTTCAGCGAATTTTTATCAGTCAGAGTGTATTATGAAAATAATTGTCGATCGCAAAGGACTGACATGGCAAACTTGTCAGTTTACAAATTTCTGTGACATTAATCAGTAATTTATATATTTTAATCAATGATACAACAGGCTGATATTAAACAGACATTGATGTATCGATGAAAATATCAAAGTATCAGTACGTCGAAAATACGAGAAGAAAATTATACAACGCCGAGTGAAACTTGTATAAATGACATTTAGAGGCGTGGAAGCCGTCTAACGATTACGCGGCCGTCCATGTGTACACGTGTGTTTCTTTATTACATCAGGTAACGTGCACCACCTTGTATAAGAATCCGACTTACACCGGACGACCTTTATGTACTCTCGATTCCGCGGAGAACCTAAAAGACTTTGGGTGAAGTCGTACTACCGACCGAGCCGCGTTAATACCGGGGAAATATTTCTTCCAAGTTCGCGCTTTGTTCTACTCGCGGATTTATCGCGATGATATTTGTTAATTCGACGACAGCGTGGTTGTCCTGTACGACGCCGTATTTCTCCGAAACAACCTCTGAAACCGGTGATATTTTAAAGAATTTTATCTGTAACGTCGAGTGCAAGTCGTGACCAATTGCGCACGTGTAATTCCCCAGTACGTGAACCTTCAAAATTTCAACAAGCAACAGTCCTCAAAATTATCAGGAAGTGTTGATGAAAACTGATTGTCAAGATTGATATTGATAAAACTTGAAAACGTATCGCGAAGAAATTAGAAGAATCGAGAATCTGACAACATTTGGCGAGCATCTCACTTTCACGTATCTATGATACGGATATTTTACAGAACAAACACGAAATATATGTAAGTGGAAATTCTTTACAATAAGCGTCGAGATGCCTTCGCGAGATGTAACGTTACAGGTAGAAAACAGAGAACGTGATCGCCGAATGTTCCGCAAGTGCTGTTCCAGATTCTTTCCAGGGAGTCTCTAACGGCGAGAGGGGGCCTGCAAGAAATGTCGCGGCATTCTCGCGCGTCCTTCACCTCGAGACAGAGGGGAGGAGTAAGCTCTCGACACGGACGGACGGTCGGTCAGGTTTTATTTTCATGCTTTCGGTCGGCGCTCTCTCGCGCAATTGCATAACGGTCACGCACACGTACCGAACACGGTGCACGCAAACGGCACGCACAGCCTCGTCCGGGACCCGGTAACTTTCCGCTTCGCGCGTTTGTTTCAACGTTGCGTAAGAATGCACTTGTTGCCGCTCGCACCGACAACGAGCCACGCTCTGATTGTGAGTGGAATATTAATTCGGTTGATTAATGATCGACCGGTTAACTCCTCTCTGCTGTCCAAAATAATCTCGGCAATTGCAATTGATCGATCAATTCGCACCTTCGACTCGACGAAGAATTTTATTTTCATCGTCGTCAATCTTTCTTCTGCTAACTCAAATCGTTGAAGGTATTTTCTTTTTCTCCTTTCATTTCAAGGGGCAGGGGAAATAAATTACCGATTTAAACGTAGATATTCGATTCTTTCTCCTAGAGTTTTCGGAATTTTTCTCCCAATTACCTCGCCCGTTACCCGCTCAGGTATCCTGCGTATTGTGAAGCCACTTGTAAAGCTGGGGATCCTCGAAAAAGGAAGAGACGTGGAAATATCTTCATGTCAGTGGGGATTCTTTACTAACGAGGAGAACTTATAGCTATGGTAATTCGTTGTGTAAGACGCGTCAAAACGAATCACGGTTCAGTCATGGTTCCAGCGTGGACCGTCACCGCTGTCGATTATCCGATTGTGCAACCGTCGCGACAGAAACGAGACCTTTTCGTACAGTCGGAGGTATGCTGGACACGCGTGCGTGCTGCATGAACGTTCAGGTAACAGGCTGGCGTCCAGTCACGAGGTCAAGCACTCCTCGTATTACGTAACCGACGTCCTCTCGTTTGGTTTACCGCTTTATCCTAAGCGTCTGCCTGCCACGTCCTCTCTAACGCCTCTCTTTCTTTCGCTTTCTCTCAAGTAGCTCGAGGGGCAAAGAACCGATCTCGTCGGCTTAATCGCCCTGTCTAACTTCTCCGGTTCAACGCGGTTCCCTCTCTGAGGTGAACAGCGAGGTGAACTCTGATAATTTCATCGCGGTTGTTGCTGATTTTATCGCGACCCTTTTCCACGATAGAAAGTGTCGATTAATAAACTCAGACAGTGTTATCGAGAACGAGAGACAGCGAAAGCGAATTTTTCGTTCGACTTACTCAATGGACAGAAGTATCAGTTTTCGTGACAGTTTGCTTCTCCTGAAATTCTATCTCAGGGGAATATGAAGTTGTAAAAGATGCAATGAGATCGTGAAGCAAATGGCATATCGATCACTGACGCTGTCTTCGTAAATATGTACTGAATAAATCATTCAATCATTTCATTCAATACAATAGAAATCCTTCTATTAAGTGACACACAGATTGTCGATCAGTGTCCTATCAATTTTGGACGGAATCATGTTTCTTCAGCAGGCAAGATAATTTTATTTATTTAACCAATACTGATAATTATTTATAAGCTATTGTTTTTTTTTTTTAAATTTTACAATTGAAACAACACGGAGTGTTGATAATTTATAACACAAAATTCTCTTAAGATATAATCTGTCTCCAAAAGACGATTTTCGCCTCGTAATTTGCGAAAGTAATAAACACCAGTTACATTTGTTCGGAAGCACGTTTCTCGGATCGACTAGGAAGCCTCTTGTTCGCGATCGTTCCACAGCAGCGGTGTAGCGCAAAGTTGCATAATCATCGACGCATAGCGGTACTAAACCCAGTGAGAAGAGCTACCCATCCGGTATGTAATGACTTAACTATCCTTCAAAAGTAACAGTGAACACTGCGACCTACGACGTACTTGAATGGAGGCCCAAAACGAAGAGAATCGGACACGATCTGTCATTGCGACTAGTCACGTACAGGCCAGGGACTGTAAACTTCGTTTTACACGGCCGAGCACTTAGAATGTTACTGGCGTTTAGGCGTGTTCTGTAAAATGCATAGAGATCGTACACGATTTGTCGTGCACGTTCATATATGTATATGTTGAAGCCACGTGATACCGTTATCGTACGACTATCGAGAATTCGTCGACGATTTCGACAAATTACGAGACATTGAAACTGAAAATTTTAAATTAAGAGGCTGAAATTTACGGTGTATCTTAAGCTCGAAGACCATCTACGTAAGCTAAATTGCGCTTTACGTGTTCGCCTTCGCAAAGATGCAAATCCACAAGGACTATCTGGGTCGATTGGAATTCCATCGAGCTGTTACATAAAATTACGCGGGAATTCCTTATTCGCATATCTCGTGTCTCGAGCTTACCTTTTATGGAGAATCCTTTGAACAGGGAGAAAAAAAAAAAAAATTGTGTTTAATTCTGTCGCTATGGATAACCATAATGGTAATTCAGTCACGATACTGGCTATTAGTACGTTTCTCTGACTGAATTTTTTACTTCGGTCTCTCTGGTTCCTTTGATTGAACTCGTAAAAATATTAAGCGTAAATCATCTCGACCTAATTAGCTACGTGTATTCTGCGCCTCAAATTTTCACGCTCTACATACGCTCTCCTCCTCCTGTGACCTGAATTCACAAAAAAATGTCGCGAGAAACCAACGTCGACATCTCGCGTCGGAAGCAGAAAAATTCATCTCTCAACCACGGCTTCAGACCTTCATCCCCCTTTTCGAATCAAGCGCCCAAGTGTCCTAGATTCGTGGTCAAAGCACAGGTCGTCAAACATCTGCAGCCTGCAAAATTCCATTCCGGATCGCTAGGACGGATTGAAGAGAAACGAGAGGCGGTGGGTTGACACGTGAAAAGCGGCACGACGCTGAACAACGTTAAGACGGCTGTCGGCGTGGCAGTTACTCTAACTGTGCCTCGTACTTACGTAGAAATCAACTGTTGAACCCGGCATTGTCATTTTTCTCGGTTGCCCGCCGCGTAATTTACGTCGAGGACAAAAGAGGAGGAGGCTCCCCGGCGCGACCTCCGCGGATTCCTCGACGCGGAACGACGACGAGGCGAAGAAACGCGCGCGAGCTCGTCAGGTGCATGCGCCGTAACTGAACGGGCCCGGCCGAGCAGGTGCATCTGCCCGCGACGCGTGCTCTCGTGCCCAACGGTATCGCGTGTGTGTGTTTTTGCACCTTAAGGACCTCAAGGATGAGGTCAACGACACGTAGGTATCGACAGCTGGACCCATTATTCCATTCGATCGGGCCCCTCTCGGCTTTCGTATTCTGGGCCATCCATTCCGCCGCTCTGATATCCTCTTTCGAATCGGCGTCCATTTTTCTTCCCCTACCGAGACATCTACCTCTTCGACTCCACAGTGTTCCATCGCCTTGCAAAATTTTTGAAACTCAACACATGATACTTCAGTCTTTAAAGCTTCGACTGAATTTGAAATTGACTTTGCTTCTTTCTATTCCCTACATTCCTACGTTGAAGTAGAATTTCGAGAAATGTGAATTTTCTCTTCTGAAAAGAGTTTGCCTTGGAGAAATCCAAGGCTGAAACTTCTCTTATCAGTAGTACTTCTTTCTACTCAGTTTGTCCTTCGTGAGATTAATCTTTCGATCTTGTACCAATTACTCCCGAGCCTTTTGTGAAACGAGAATGATATCAAAGTGAGTGGAAAAATTGTAGCACATGTCGATTGTATTTGACACGAATGTACGATTTCTCTCATGCCACTGACGTGTGTATCTCCCTCTGCTGATAGTTGCTCTCGACTTTGATAAACGAACACGCAAGACATCGGCTGGTTGAAAAATACAAACCGACATACATACCTCGTGCAAGTACTTGATTCGTCGCTCGCGTTCCAGAGTAAGCGTCGATGATAATTGTCGCACGCGAGGAACGCATTTACGAGGCGAGTGCATCACGTTCCACATCGATTGTTCCAGCTATCCTCATTTGCCACTGGCTCGTTTTCTACGTTTTCCGTGAAAGAGAAAGAGAGAGAGAGAGAGAGAGAGAGAGAATTTATTGGCCCACGAACCTCATTCATCGCGAATGCTGTTATGTTTTTGTCAAATTGTCGGACATTGAACGATGAATGTCAGTCACCCTCCCACGTAGTTCTTTTCAATTTCGCGGAGGGATCGTCACTGCCAACAAAGCACTCCGACTTTTCAACAACACGCGAATATACTATTTGCGAATTTAATTAAGCCCACGCGTCAGCCTGACAGTCGGTACGCATTGGCAATTCTATTTATCGTCTCATTTGTAATCTCGGGCGTAGCAACGAGGAACGCGTACGCAGTTCATCAACGTGTCGCCCTTTCGGCCAACTGAATTCATATTTATTGCCGTGCCTTCGTCGAATCGAATTGAAAATCTTTAAATAATCTCCCTGCACGTTGGAACTTCTCTATTTGGCTTTAAGACGCTGAGAAGCGTGAAATAAATTCTTCTCTAAAAATTACTTCGGAGAATTATTTTTTGTACGCTTCTCGCGCACCACTGGACACACGAATCGATAGAAATTCAGAACGTGCCCTGGCAACGGCAGGAAGTATCTTGAATGAGCAGGAAGACGATAGGTGAAAACCTTGCCAGCTGAAGTGGATGAAAACAAAATTCGAGGAGCTACGGGAGCCAGGTAAAGAACGTGCTCGAGCAGCTAAGCAGGTCAGATATAAAGTCTTGGATAGATGTTATATGTCGTTGCAATTTCTTCGAAATATTTCAAGATCCTTGCGGTTGAACAAATTAACAGACATTTCCAGGTAGAAGTAAAGCTAAGGGAAATCACCCGTAGTGAAAGTAGATCGCCTATGTTGCAACGTTGAACGATTTCAAGGAACTGGTTAAACGCGTGAATAACAAATTGACACGATCGTGCGACAAAATAAGCTTTCAATATGCATATAGATTGCAGGGGAGATAAGTTCAATACGAAAACAGAGTTAAATTCACCTCGTTATTTTTAAATTGTACAGCTGGTTCTAAAAACTTTAAATAATACGTAATTATTGATATGTTCGAAGTACTCGTTAATATCGACTCGCTTGCGTTTGGCGAATGGATGGAAGCAAAGCATTCCGCGCTTGGGAAAGATGAAAATTAGATTGTTCCACGAATACCTTCGATGATATATATTGCTCGTTTCCACCGTAATTTATAAATTTCTACGCAACCGTTCGCACGTTCCACAAATCGGTACAGACTTCTCCGCGCGTATGATTTTTAATTGGCGTCGGCCAGGAAATATCGAATCGCGAGAGATCACTCGTTCCAGCATCCTGGAATTCTAATAAGCGTTTAATATATCGGAACACCGTGTGCCTTTCTAAATGCGTCGGAATGCCGCGAGGAAGTTGAATATGCATCGCCGGCGATTATTGGCCCCGTTGTTTGTCCGATTGTCTAATGAGTCCTCGATCGAATTGAAATGACCGATTCAGCTGAAATTACGACTAAAAGCGTAATTCGTTCAATTAGACGTTGCTTTCTAGACGCTGAACACTTTGGAAAATTACTTCATTCAATCGCTGGGAATAACAACTTTGTAGTCTCATCTGCGTTGTAGCGGGAGGCTTATTTCAGATGATTGATTCTGATTTTCTATTTCCTCGTCACCCCATCACGATGATCATAATTCAATTCTCTTTCGAGTGAATAGGCGAAGGCTCTCTTTTCACGTTCGCAGCTTCGAATTAAACGCGTTTCGAAACGCAAACGTGGAATTAGTAGCAACTCGTTCGTTGAAATCCAATTCAGGCTGGCTCCATTACGTGACAAGGCAACCTATTGTCATCTATTGTCGCCGGATATCCGACGTTTCCTGTAGAACCCATGCAACTCGTTGTCCTACTATTTTCTAAAGGTTGAAAGGCCGTAGTGTACGTGAGACGCTTGAAATTCAATAGGAAAACCAAAACTCTGTATACGCAGAGAGTTTTGCAAACGTGGGTCTGATTGATCGCGCGTGACGCGAAATTATTTATTAATATCCGTGCAACATTTCTAACGGTCTCCGGGGACCAATTTATGGCGAGTGACATTTTCTGCTGATATTACCATTTCCTTGATTGAACCAGAGCACCGTTCACGTTCATTACGTCGTACCTGAATATGCATTTACGCTAATGTGCATTTTAAACATATGTGCAACAGCTCGTTTAACCATATTAATCGATATTAAACTAAATCTACGTCAACGAACGGACACGGAACACGCCGGTTGCACTAATTTGCCGGTGCTCGTGTTATACGTGCTCGCAATCTTGCTACACGCTCGTGATAAAGTCAAGGCAAGCACCTGTTACTTTGATAAATTATTCCAACTATCGGTTCGACAGTTTATAACGGTGGATTACGCGCAACGGAATTTCCGAACCCGAAGAATGCGTCGAGAAGCAGCCTAACGACCGTCTCCGCGTGCTATTGATTGAAATACCACCACCCCCACCGGTTCGACGTTCGTGTAGGGCAGATTCACCCCATGCGACAGGGAACTCAAGTCCCCTGTGCAAAACCCTGTGCAAGTTATGCGTTTGTATTTAAAAAGTTATCAACTACGATTAAAATAAAAAAAATGGGAACATGATTCTTGCTGTTTCTAGCAATTTGAAGAACAATTGTTCTCTCGGGAAATATATTTTTTTAATATAAAAACATTGAAATGTTAGAATTGAAATGTGAATGAATAAAGTTATTGGATATTCATATTTTATAGAGAATAATAAGGACAAATTGCGACGGATAATTCGCTCTCGTCTGACATCATGAGAAATACAGACGTAATATTTTTGAGGTAGTCCTCGTATTGATCGCGGTGCTGCTTCACATCGGCGAGGGGAATTCACCCTTCACTTTTGCCAACTCGAGTGGCATACACAAAGTCAGCAAAAGGGTGGCGTGCCATTATATAATGAGACAGTGATATCCCACACTGTTTACAAACATACATTCTCTATATTTTCTAAATAATCACCCTCCCTTTAATCGTGCAAATGCATCAGCATTTCGTAAAATATCACAAGAAGTTCTTACATTTTTTTTTACAAATACTCGTCTACGTTACGTTATTTATCGCGAACATCTTTCAGCAAATTAATCACATCGACGTTTTCTCTTCGTTGTTTTCACATTCAATACGAATTGCCACGAGCGTCGCGAAGATTATGTCTGCGAAGAACCTTTGAACAGTGTTTTCTAAAGGTTGCGACGACCTGATAATTTCTCTCATTAGCATTTTTCCACGGTGCGTGGAGATCGAAGATTTTGTCAGCGTTTTATTATATTCGAGCCTTACTTCTCACGCTGCACGCTCGAGCACTTACGAAAAGGAAATTCTACCACGGCAGTACACACGCGCGAGGCGTGAG